TGTACATATATTTATATTTAATATTTTTATTCTGATAACTAGACATCTTTATTAAAATTGAAACGATTTAATTAAAAATATTCCGCTGAATCTATTTACAGTACATTAATTATCTTTTCGTTCAATCATTTCAAACATTTGTCAGTCAGCTTGCAATGATTTAAGGTACTTGAGCGTGACATTTTGATTCACTTTTGCGGCATTCATCAAAAAATAAATAAAAAAAATAAATCAAACAGCAAAAGTAAAGTGTTTTACGATATTTTTGCATACACGCCTATGCATATACAAGTGTATGTATGTACACATGTATATATATATATATTTAAAGCGGAATTTTGCTCAAAAATGCCGCAAAACGTGTGAAAAAGGTAAAAGTGTAAAGATATTCAAACAAACCACGTAATTCCCTGAGGAACTTGAGATTACCGTCTGGTTCACCAACGCTGCGGTCGGGAGTTACTGCCTGGCTTGTTAGCTGGCTGACTCCGTGCCGCTGTTTGCTGGGTCTGTGATAAAAAAACACTTCAACATTAATATGCAGTGGCGTGTGTGGCAAATCTTAACCTGTCGTCAAGTAAGCGGCACACTAACTGTCACATACGAGCATATGTTTATATGTGTTAGTTGACTTTTAGAATTATAAATTTTCCAAAAATACCATATGCAGTTAAAACTTTGATTAAGTAAATTTTTGTTACAAATTATAACATTTTTTGTATTCTTTATCGTTTTTCGTTTGCATCTGTGCTCTGCTTGTTGTTGTTTTCAATACGTGTGGACATTAAAATTTCATTACATTTGGCACATTTTTAATCTTGCAACATTGATTGTGTGTGCACGTGCTGTGAACTCGTAAGCTCGATGGAGTTTACGGCGCCGGCAGCTGCGGTTTTTGGAGGGTATATATAGTAATATATAAATATACATTTATATGTATGTAGAATAGTAAATCATATTTGTAACTCTTAACGTGTATATTTGTGTATCTACATCCGCATTAAATATATTATATTATAATATGATTTTAAATGCAATCGAAGGAATTTTCATTTATATTTTCGCATACATAGATACTTGCCCTTACATATATACATATCAGCATATTATAAAATGTGCAAACATATTACCACAAAATGCAAATATTTACTATTCAAACAATAGAGTTGATTATTTATATACAATCGTATATATATATATATACATATCTGTATTTACATTCATGCATATGTATATATTACTATGCAAAGGTAAGCTTCCACAAGCCAATACGAAAATCCAAATTTTACAATCTACGAATATTTGAAAGGGAGAGGACATAAATCGGATTTATTTGATTTTAATATTCCTAAATTTAATTTAAATCGAATGACTGTGTGGACTAGCAAATATGTACATATGTGCATTTATACACATTATTATTTTGCACTTGCTAGCCACATTAGCAATTCGTGGCGATTTCGTTTTTTAATATGAAAAATTAACTTTCCGAAACGGGCCATTGTTGTCGAAACGAAATGAATTGAATTTATGTTAACCATTGAGTATTATCTGTTAACGATTTAACATTTTCTGTTAACGTCTTAACATTATCTGTTAACGTCTTAACATTATCTGTTAACCATTTAACATTAACGACAGCTTTTCGTTTGAGGTAAAAACGATATAAAATTTATTTTTATAACTTCTTCAACGATAACATTTGCCAATGTTTCAACCGAATCGAATGCACGCTTACATGGAGCTCGGATCACTGAGACGAAATGTTAAGGAAATCTTCAAACTGGCCAAGACAGCCAATAATGAGTACTTTTGGAGGGAATATAAAGACGTACTTGAAGAATTTTAAAAAGAGTATCGCAAAGCTAAAATGTAGTGGTGGAAGAGCTTCTGTGGTAAGTTATTAAGTCTCCGGGTGGTAACTCTCCAACTATTACGCTGAATGTATCAACAGTGCTGTTACTTTACCTGATAACAAAATATAAAAGATACAATACCTTGTACCTATCCTTTGTTGAGGAGAGAGGACCGTATTTATACCGAAGACAAAGGAGTTCCCTATAAGGATGTCCTGCAGACATTCGAAAAGATTCTAGACGCCCATATAGAAACTTTATTAATATTAACGCGGCATGAACGAAGCCAAGCTCCTAAGATTAGCCAGTAAGGAAGTTCCCAGAGGAGTCACCCAAGCTAATAGCCTATGTGAACAACAAGTCCTTCAACACAATTAGTAACGTGATGGACAATGGTAATGGGCAACATAGGCGAGCTTAGATGTAAATGCCGGTAAGACGAATACGGTACTCTTAACAAGGAGGTACAACATCCTGACATGGAAACCTCCGAGGATTCACGGGGTTGAGCTATCAATTTAAAGTCGCACCAAGTACCGAGGGGAGTAATTTTGGTCAGAAAACTAGTGTGGAAACTCAATGTAGAAGAAAGAGTGAAAGTGATACCCTTTACGCATGTTAAAAGATGCTAGGGTATCCATAGCTTCTATCGCCTGGCTTCATGTAGTGTTACGCAAGGGTAATCCGCGCAATTTTACTTTACGCCAAGCCAAACCAATTGCAATGGAGAGCAGATTTATGGAATTTAAATATTACTAAATAGACCCGCTCTATCTGGTATAGAGGGTTTCAAGCTACTTTCAAGAAGAGTGGAAGTCTTCGCATTATCCAGTGAGAAAATCATGAGTTGTCTTTCCATACATCCGCAAATAATATTCCTTACAGCCATTTTGACCATGCGATGGGTACATAACCACAAAGACTCGTTCAAACCTACCTGCTGTTCATTAAATCGTGGACATAAAAATTTTGCATGGTTAACATCTTGTACAAAATCTAAACCAAAGTATTGGACCAATTCGTGGTCAAAACGGCAGAGCTTGCTTTTAAAACAACTAAAGACCCTTTTTCTGTTACCGTTTGAAAAGTAGCTCAAACACAGCGTTGGTAGGTAGCGAACGTTTGACGTTCGACGTTGCATTGCTAAATGTCATATCATGGAACCCGCAGGGTTCTGTTCGTTGGTCCGGTACGCTGACGTTTTCCATTATCTTGACCAGAGCGGCGGTTGCGACCTTGTTACCTATGTACTTACATACCCCAGACGGTCATGAAAACTAAGGTTATGAGCAGTTGAAATATTTGACGCCTGGCTTTAATGCATTGATGATGCTGCCATTCTCCTTTAATTTTTCTCCTCTTATTTCGATTACTAATAAGGATGACTTCAGTTTTATGGTCGGCTTGTTTTAATTGTATCAAGGGCGTATTCCACAACGGTTATATCCTTGACGAAAGATAGCCGTAGTAACTTGTGGCACATGATGTTCCACCGCTGACACCGCCTCTTAAAAGACGCCATAGCCGAACTGCCGCAATAACCGAGTGATTAGCGTTGCGTACTACCATTCGGAAGGCCAGGGTTTAAGTCCTGATCCGGCCAACATGCGAAAAATTAAAGGAAGCAAACTTAAATATGAAATAAAAGGTAATTTTTCTAATTGCAGTCGCCATTCGGCATGGAGTGTCCACTCCTGCGAGTGTATTTCTGACATGAAAAAAGCTCCCAACTTAAAACCGGAGGCGGCTTAGTATAAGCTGTAGGTTCCTCCTTTCGTTGGTAAAACATCAAGACTCAAAACTACAAATTTGAGTAGGAGCCCGGCCGAACATTGCTTCAGCGATTACAATGCGCCAATTATATATATTGCAATTAATAGGAAGTTTATATCTTGTCTGCTATTCGACGATTACTCTTATATTTGAAAATATTCCTGTTTCTCCTTAGAAGGAGCGTCTACAATGAAAACCGCTTTGAACGAACAAAAAGCCGCATAATGTTTAAGTAAAAGGCAAAGTCCATTCAACTTCCTTTCAGATTTTCAGTCACCGATCCGATGCGGTAAATTTCCAGTGCAAATATGCTAAAAATGAAAGGTTATAGCCGTCTTTAGGCACACATGCACGAAGAGTGATGCATGCATACTCGAACTTCTTATGCATGTATGTATATGCCTATGTACAACCATTTTCAGATATTTGTATTTGTAAACATAATATATACAGACATTGGATAGTGCAGAAGAGTTCGCATATTCTCGCTGTTTCTTTTTTTTTTTTTTGAATAGATCCCAAACTGGTTTCGTCTCCTCACCGCAGAGCATCGACAACATTACAACAACTAGTTTGGCAGATGAAGCACTTGTGCATTTATTAGCAATCTCTTTTGTAGTAGCTTCATGGTTAATAGGCATTGGTTGCAATACGTGCTGCGGCTGTGGTTACGGCTGCCCAAATGCCGTCCGACCCCCGTGATCTAGTCAACGTGCAATGTTCTGCTGCCTGCACGTTTACGTCTGCGCAGCCAATTAGGCTGGTAGTCATATAGTCACACAGTCACACTTACATGTAATCACGACGTTTATTTAGTGCAAATCATGAATTTCAGAGTGCTTATGAACTTGTTTCAAGGTCATTCATTCATTTCATGCAACACTGTAATGTGTAAGTGTGATGTCTTTTTAGAAAATGAGGAGCCAAAGAAAAATTTTAAATTTTTCTCAGAATGCATATGTACGTACATATATAATTTTTACAGAAGATATATTTCATCAGCTCAAGATAACGACAGTTTAACAAATTAGACCACCCGACGGTGGAGACCGCAGAGAGCATCCCAACAGGCATCTTATAGAGGCTAAACCTCCACCACAGAGAGTACTAGGCTTAAAGGACACAATCTAGCAACACGGACTATAACCACTGGGCAGCACGGGCTACAGACGTTCTCGAGAGAATCGCGTAATACTAGTGGCAGTAATACGAAACTTAAGTATGTATATTGTAGCAGGATATATCATGTAATAAGTCCACGCATGTCACTAACCACATCTTTATATGTGTACTTATGTATGAGGAAATATTTTGGTTGAAACTTGTTAATATAGACTTATGCGTTTTTCGCCTTGAAATCAACCCTGCACATAAGCCGCAAATCAGCTGAGTTGCTTATAACAGCTCTGTTGCAAATCAGGTGTTATTGTTAAACTTTGAAGTGTGTCAAACGCATAAACAATATTTCTTGTGGTTACATTTTTATACACGGCTAAAAACTCTCCTCAGTTAAAGCAAAATGAATTTTAATAGCAAAAGGCCTGCCCGACAAAATTCAACGAGTTTCAGTGCGTCTACTCCTGCTGCTGCTAACTCGGATGGCAGTGGAACTACAACACCAACATTACTTATACAACAACCATCGCAAGCAGTGGCTTCACCTCATGCACTACAACATCAGCTATCCAATAGCAGCACTAGCAGTGCTGCGGGTATAGCAAGTGGTCTCGCAGCAGGAGGGGCAGTGGATGATGCACCCATAACATTGTTGCCTGAAATTTCTGATATAATGCGCAGCTTTGGTGATAGTGACCAACCGCGAATGGAAAGTGTTAAGTTAGTGGAACATATACTACAACAACAATTGCGTGGCATGTTTAACGAAGCTTCTCTAGTCGCTTTACGCCGCAAAAATAGCCCGTGTCCAACTCAAGCTGATTTTGAATTTCTAATGCGCAATCACCCGGTTAAAATAGCACGTATGCGTAAACACTTAAAGGATATGAAAATATTGAAACGGTTTCTAAGCATACGTACAGGGCGCCCACAAGATTTCATGGATGACACGGAACAACTTGAGTCTGAGGACGAACTGGCTATTGAAATTCCGGAATTGTTCGATGAAGAACGTACACGTAGACTTTTTCGTGCCGATCGTATTTCACAAATATTGACTGGCCAACAATATTTAGAATTCAATGAAGCACGAAAGACATCTTTCTATTGTCGTCACGGAGAAAAGATCAAAAATAAATTTCGTCGCTTCCTCGATTTACCAGCCGATTTACGCATCCCCACAACTACTATGAATATCTTGGCCTACTTCGCACACGAGACCATTGCTGTGATTGTTGACTATGCTATATTAACACGTTTGAATTCGGAGAATCGTGTAACAGAGCCTTACAGTCGTATTACTTCAACGGGTGCTTCAGCAGCAATGTTGCACATTTGTCCTGAAGTAACCCAAGGTCGCGGTATGGAAGTTGTGCGACCAATTAGCGTTCAAGAAATACACGAAGGGATGCGTCGGTTCCGACAAATGACGAGTAAGAAAATTGGTTTCTATCGTAGCTCTTGCGATGCTGATTTTCGCCGTTCTTTTCTTGCTATATAAAATAGATTCATCGCTAATAAACTTATGTTTATATTGAGGATAAATTTTTATTCGAATATGTATACCTATTTGCATAAGCGTTTAGAACTAAGTCATTAAATTACTAATAAAATTGGATTCCACATGCGTTACATATTTTAACTACATTCAAATAAAAAGTGCGAATAAAATATGCAATTTTTTCATTCACGTATAAATATATGTATACTATGCGTTCTAGGTAGGGCTTGGTACAAGAGTTTTCCTGTCGGATTGGGCCATTTGGGCGACCCGCACGGCATTTTGATGTAACTTTGTTTCAATATGTTGTTTCATATGATGCTGTAAACGGAAATCCTTATTGCAATACTCACAATGATACAACTTAATATCGGCATGTATTAACTTGTGTTTACTTAGGGCGTGGGCATAGGCGAAGGCTTTGTTGCACTCATCACAAACATACGGTTTCGCGCCACTGTGAACGCTGTGAAACAAAAAAGGAATATTAAATATTGATGTAGACTTCCTCATTAGTTAAATTTAAGTTGTGCTTACGCCTCGTGTGCTTTCTTTACGCTTTCATAGAAGAAGGTTCTACTACAAAAAGAACATTTGTACGGTTTGCCACCTGTGTGCAGAAACATATGTTTGCGCAGCTTCTCGCGTAGATGAAAACGTTTATCGCAAAGTCTATAAAAATCAATTAATTGGAAACATGTATTGATTTTTTTTTCAGTAAATACTCACTCGCAGGAGAAACGAAGCTCCTTATCATGCCGTCTTCTATGTTCCATCATGCGTCCGCGTTTCGCATAAATATTTCCACAAATATCACAAATGTGTGCAGTATTACTACCCGATCTATCAGTTTTCTTATAAGTTTTCTTTGGTGCGTCCAAATTGGTTTCAACCATGATTCCTTTTTGTTTCTCTTTGTTATGAACAATAACTTTGGTTGATGACTTTTGTTTCATGTGCTTCCTACATTCCCCCACAATTGTATCATGTAACTCAGGCATTTGGTTCTCTTCAGCTCCACTTGCTTCGTCGAGTCGTTGTATAGAAGAAGTCTCCTCTTCCATGGACACGTCTTCTATGCTTTCACTATCTGATTCTACATCGACAGTGTTGTAACTAAAAAAGTTCACCCTTTCTTCGTGTTGCTCTTCTGCTGGTGATTGTGTATCTACCCTTTGTACGCTAGGTATGTTTTCATCGTTATAAAATTCAACATCATCAAGATATTCTGGTTTACATTCTTCATTAATGACATCACCTTCATTTGATTCTTGCATCTGCTCATTACCTAGTATATCATCATCGTCTAGGTCAGAGAATGACAACTCCAGCACCTCAACTTTCATTTCCTTATTATTCTTTATATTTTCTTCACTTACATAAAACTCTTCGTTGGTCAAGCCTTCCAGCTCTACTTTTACAGATGAGGTTTGGTTTTCATATGAGTTCAATTCGTTTGTATTCAAAACTTGTTTCCGGTAAGTTTCTATTATATTGTGTGTACGTAATACCTTAGCACGAAATTGGTAAGCCAAACTTAGTGACAACTCGCAATTTTTGCATATACATTTCGGCAGAGTCTCGAAGTTATAGGCCTATGGGTTTATCATTTAATGAGAACCTATAACTTTTATTAATTCACTCTTACCTCTTCCAGTGTTACACCCGTAATTAGACGTAACATCTCAACTGGCGGTTCTTCACCCTCGTCCAAGGGTTTGTAAAGCGAACGCAATTTCGGTGACCGCTTTAAGCATACCCGGCAGCTTTTAGGTCCGACATCGCTCAATTTCATTTCAAATATTTTGTTTGTGTAATATTTGAGTTTATAAAAGATTAAATGCCGATATAAAGTTGTTTACAATTATTTGCATTTATTTATTGTATACATTCAGAAATTTTGTCGTTTCTTTTTCACATTTAACAGCTGATAAGCTGCCGTTACAACAAATCTTCCATAAGAATGCCATATAACTAGAAAACTATGTGAGGACATAATAAACTTTTGTTAGAATTAAATCTCAGCAGCCCTGGCGAATTTATAGAAGGTGAAGCTTCTGGGTTTTGGCATTTCGAGTGATCGTTTACTCAACAAAATGCATTTAACGATTTTTGTTTTTGACTTTTCGAAACTATAATTACTCAAACAATATGTTTTTGTATACTTACTGCTGCCGTGTGTGAATTCGCCTGGTCTGCCGCAGTGAGGGAAAAATTTCTTTCATTGATCTGGCTATACACAAAGAGAAAAAAGTGAACAAAACAGAAAATAGAAAACTTTCTTCTGCTGTATCAGCTGAATTATTGGTTTAGTTTCTTGTTTTAAGACGTGAAATATCAGCATATTGACCATAAAAAATCGATGGAATAGCTTTCGCAACTCTGATATAACCTATGAGGTAAAATGGACCAGTGGCCGGAATTTAGCATGGAGAGATTAAATATTTCAGGGCGCGACACTCTTCCTTCGTCACAAACAAAACAAATGCAACAACAATCTCAATTTACGCAGCAACAACAAGCATTTTCTTCAATAATGGATTTGCCCGATTTTGGTGATTGCGGAGATGAACAAAAATACGTAATATATAAGCATGATGATTTGTTTGGTGAAAGTTATCCACTAATGCGCGAGATACGACGACAAGGCAAACTGTGTGATGTTACTTTAAAGGTAAGTGACGATGTGCGGTAACAGCTGTTACATATTTTTCCTTCGAACGCTATACTAATATTGCTTTATCTCTACCAGGTTGAGGAACAATCGTTTTCGGCACATCGTATTGTATTAGCTGGCACCATACCATATTTTTACGCCATGTTTACTAATAATATGGCAGAAAGCCGTATTAAGGAGATTACTATGAAAGAAATTGAACCAAACGCGCTCGAAAGTCTCATAAACTATGCATATAGTGGACAAGTACGCATTGATAATCAAAACGTTCAAAGTCTAATGGTGGGTGCGTCATTTTTACAATTGACCAAAGTACGTAATGCATGTGCTGATTTCTTGATTTCGCGATTCCATCCGCATAATGTATTAGGCATACGCCATTTTGCTGATTCTATGAGCTGCACACACCTCATTGAAGCAGCTGATAAGTATATAGACCAAAATTTTGCCAAAGTTGTGCAATCAGATGAATTCTTAGGTTTAGATTTCGATGAATTAGTCGATTTGATACGTCGTGATGAGCTTAATGTGCCAACAGAGGAGGTAATTTTTGAAGCTTGCATGAAATGGGTAAAACATATGGAGGAAAAACGCTCTGTTCACTTTCCACAAGTGTTAGCAAAGGTACGCTTGCCGTTGTTGTCGCCACAATTTTTGGCAGATCGCGTAGCACGGGAAGAGCTGATTCGTTCATCACATCAATGTAGAGATTTGTTGGACGAGGCAAAAGATTTCCATTTAATGCCAGAAAGGCGGGGATTGTTGCAAAGTTTCAGGTGCGTGCAAGGAAAATATTACAATAAAACTAAAATTATTTTAAATACAATATTGTAATTATTAGAACTCGACAACGCTGTGGTGAATTCATTATGGGCCAGATTTATGCAGTTGGAGGACTAGCTAGTAATGGCGAGTCAGTGAGTACAGTCGAAATTTATGATCCAGTGGTTAAGAAATGGGAAATGGGTGAACAAATGTCCATGATGCGGTGAGTATGTAGGGTAATGAAATTATGAGACAAAGGTCTAAGTAAAAAAGTATCATTAGAACATGATTATGGCTTATATTCTTTTAAGGCAAACCTTACCCGTTGGATATTTTTAGATCTCGTGTTGGTGTCGCAGTTATGGATGGCAAACTTTATGCTTTCGGCGGCTTCAATGGTACTGAACGTCTCTCCACTGTAGAAGTATATGATCCCAAAAAGAATAAATGGTCTCAGGGTCGCGCAATGTTGTGTAAGCGCAGGTAATGTTTTAAATTCATTTCGTTAATGCATTTAAAGCTTTAAGTTATTTTTTTTTTTTGTACGCAGCGCTGTTGGTGTTGCAGCTTTGGACGACTGTATTTATGTTTGCGGTGGCTATGATGGTGTTACTTCGTTGAATACAGTAGAATGTTACTGTCCTAAGACTGATATTTGGAAAACTGTATGTAAATCGAAGGTTCCTGTAGGTTCTTAACATAAATCATCCCTTTTATTCTCTTTCAGGTTGCACCGATGATGAAGTATCGTTCAGCGGGTGGTGTTGCTGCTTTGGGCGGCTATGTATACGCACTTGGTGGTCATGATGGACTTTCAATTTTTGATTCAGTCGAACGATATGATCCCGTTAAAGATGTTTGGCTAAAGATGCATTCAATGTTGAATCGTCGTTGTCGTCTAGGTGTAGCTGCTTTAAATGGCAAGCTTTACGCTTGTGGCGGCTATGATGGCACTTCATTTTTGCGCTCCGTAGAAGTATATGATCCAATAACGGACACCTGGAGCCTGGTTACGCCAATGAATTGTAAGCGTAGTCGTGTGGCTTTGGCTGCCAATATGGGCAAATTGTGGGCTATCGGCGGTGAGAAATATAGAAATTTAATAATTTAATTTTTCTTTAAATATAAAATATTTTCAATACTAGGTTACGATGGCGAGACAAATCTATCTACAGTAGAAGTGTACGATCCTGAAGCGGATGAATGGTCATTTGAGCCCTCAATGTGTGCTCATAGCGGTGGTGTTGGTGCCGGTGTTATACGTAAACAGTAATTAGTTAAGGCTACATATGTTTGCAATAAGTAATTATAAATAATGTTAATAGTATTAATTTATATTATTAGCTAATCAATGTTATGTTTTCAAAAAGCATAGACGCATTTTGCTTGCCTTATTCGAAATTAAATATGTATGTAATTTTTTTATTTTAATGCTCTTTAGTTGGGTAAATTTATGAAGACTCTTACGAATATCATTCCAATTTCGATAGAAACTATACAAATTCAAACTGAAATTCTTGTACATGCATAGATATTAAATCATTGCTCAAGTGCTTGAACACCAATTGCAATTCCGTCAATTGAGATTATTAGAATTTAAACAAAAACCAAATACGAAATGCTTGATTTATTAGATCTCTTAGCACTTTTATATATTCGTATATATATCTATGCACTGATTAAATGGAATTGTAAATTTAAATCAAAGTAAATACAAATCTTATAACGAATACAATTACATATACTCAATTATTGTTATGAATTGAATATCTTAGAAATGCATACAAAGTACATATGCAAAGGTAAATCATTTTACGAAAGTTTTAAAAATAAAGAAAGCAAATAAATAAATAAATACTTCAAAAGTCAATACAAAAATTTCATTTATTTTTATTTGATTAAAAGTTTAGTTAAACTTCATGATAATTTCCCACACATAAATACTCACATATGTATGTATGTATGCATGTAAATACATATAAACTCTTATCGATTCGGGAAAAATTAAATTTACTCTTATACAAACAATCTGTCGATTGCGCACTTTCACAAATTGGCTTAAATGCTCAGCAGCGATTGGCATTTACCTTTGTATGTGGTTGCACACCAAGATGTACATACACATGTGGTCGCATATGATACCAAAATGCATGATTGTGTTGCGCAGCTACAATTGCAACAGGTGGTAATCAATATTTGCTCAACAATAAATTGGAATATGTCGCGGCTGCATTGTTTATTCAGCCCTTTTTCGCGTTTACTATTTGCTGCAAATAATATATAACACTGCCGAGGTTGAAATAAAAGGATCATAATAGAAATGTTGACTCTTTTTTTGAATATATTGTGAAATACACACATACATATGCACAAATAAACGAGTGCTATTGTACATTTATTTTGTTTTTATTTTTATTTATTTATTTATTTTTATTTTTTTTTTAATTTTTTTTTATTTGTTTTTTTTTTTTTTTTNTTTTTTTTTTTTTTTTTTTTTTTTTTTTTTTTTTTTTTTTTTTGTGATTTAACCGCTTTTATTATTTTTTACTCTGGTTCTTGTTCCGTTGTATTGGTTATGGCAATAGAATTTTATTCGCAACGGAATGACGAATGTATGTTTGTTTGCAAAAGGCTCGTCCGCGTTTGATAAAGATCGCTGATTAGTTATCATTATATCTCTTATCGAAGATTTAATTAATTTACATAGTTCGGGGAATTACAACTTACTCCACTCATGCACAATTAATCACAATGTACACGAACAGGGTTAGAAAAATTTATTTGCTCATATACGGGTACCTAGATAGACCCCAGTCTGTTTACTGTTACTGTTTACTAGGAGAATGTGTAAGCCTCAAACAGCTTCATAATCTCCTTTCTCTACCTTTTGGTATTTCTAAGCCTACGAGTGTCTTGTGGAATCCTAAGCACTGACCCATCTTCGGTGGCATCCTAAGTTTATGGAGAGAGCACCTCTTCAGTCTGTTGAATTGAATACCTAAATCCTGCGGGTTAGGGACTCATTAATGTACCCTTGACGCAAGAGGTGACTAAATTCCTGTGATAGTCGGGTCTTTTAACCGGAACTACCCAGATTTTTATCCGGCCAGAGACTGTCACTGCCGAAATATTCCCCGAAACTCAATTGTGGTTACTACAACAACAGCAACAATGTCCAATCAATGACGATGCATTATGCATACTTTCAGTCATCCAATTACGATGAAACTCGAGTAGAGATTGCTCAATGATGAGCCATTCAAACACCTCTTCACCAGCTGGACGACGACGTACCAGCTCGAGCTGATTGTAAAAGTTTGCGACGGCAAAATTTCGAAATAAACATTTCAAAGTTACTGCGCGTCACAATCGACAGTCTGCCCTTATACCAAGCACTAAAGTGTAAAGTTGCAATAAAATCCTCTAATCGCTAGCTGACAACATGTATGGAGAAGTCAAAGAAACATTGCTCCCAGCTTGAAAGGTAATAGGTTGGCGAATCATTAATTATGTCGCATCGATATGGCCACCGGAGACTAGCGAGCAGCAGATGATGAAGCTATAAGCCTGTCAGAACACCGCCCTGGGGACTGTAACGGCATGTCTTACAGCGTATAAATTTTGGAACGCTTCACCCTAAAGAACTGAGTACCACATAAAATAATCTTTGAACAGAACGAAGTATAGGTCGTCAAGTAAACGTCATTCACGGAGAATCCATTAGGACCGTTATATAATTTTTCCCCGCAAACTTTGTGCTCGCTATCCAGCCGGTATCCATAGAAAACGAAAAGCTTAAGCTGTCTCGGAGACCATAGTAAAAATACTGACACCATTAAAGGCTGGATACTGCAATTACTAAATATCTAGACTAAATATCTAGACTTAACGCCGCCACACAGAATGTAATCATCATTGATACCAATATTAATGCCAGTCTCGAAATCCAACGACAGACAACAGGACTGAGACGACATTGACGACGTCCGATGACTAAAGTTTTCGAAAGAAAGGTTTTACGGCAATGAACGACAGATTTGGAATTTAGGTTATGTTGTTGTTGTTGTAGCGGATTCGCTAACCCCGCTTAGGCACAGGCTTGAGTTAGTCTAAGTCGTCGAGGTCATCTAAAGGTAGGCCCAGGAAACGAGCTGTTTCGACGGGGTTGGACCAAAGGGAGAGGGGTGTTAGATGAGTAGGTTTGAGGGGGCATGTGAAGAGGTGGTTAGTGNGAAGTAATCCGTCGGTCCAGGGTTGGTTTCTACACCAGCCCTGATCAGAAGGATTTGGAGCAACCCAGCTGCGAGGTGTTGCTCCGTTGACGTACTTAGACTAAGGTTACCTGTAGACCTAAACGGGGTTAGGTCTCCGAAAGGGTGACAGCCCTTGGCCGGATAAAATCCGGGTCAACTCCGGTGCGTAGAACCGGCTGTCGTGAGAGTAGGGAATTTAGGTTATCACCACTGACGCCTCGTCTGTGCATGGCAGTTGAGGAAGACTCTTGCGGCGCTACACACCCATTCATTTAAAGCAGTTTCCTGGTATTGCCTGTTAATGATAATCTTCTTTTCCTTTTGATAACCACAAAGCTTCAAATATTGTTTGGACGTGGCCGATGATGGTCTGGTATTCGTAAACTATTGATACTACAGGTGGAGAACGCTTTGGGCATTACACATTTCCTTCTTGGTTTTTTTGCTTGATAGGGAACAACTTAATAATTCCAATTAACTTTCGGTTAGGTTGTTCAACAGGCGATCTTTTGTAATGGAAGGATGCCATAAGTGTGAATCTTAGTCCGTAGCTATGTGACGCTGACGCATACCATTATTGTTAGATACACACTCCCTGACGGAGATTTCGACTCTACGAGCAGGAAACCCACTTCTTTTCACTTATTGAAGGAGATGTAAAAAAAATGGAAATAATAGTAGGATGGAGGAGTGTTACTTTGCTCCCTGCCTTAACAGGACAATCTATTATGGAACAGAAGAATTCGCTCGATGCGATGATTTTTTTATTATTTTCCGGGGTTCTTGTAATTTTCAGTGCATGATCTGCGCCCAGCAACATCAACCTTACTTAGTTTGATATCTCACAATGCCCCTTTAATACAATTATAAGAACACTAAATTATCTTTTGCTTAGTGCTAATAAAAGCTTGATGTATCTTCAATGTATCCTAGTCCGTAATAGTTTAGTCTTTCGACCGACAGCAGCACCCGCGGCGCCAATTCGTCCACCTAATAGTTACCCTGTACATCCTTGTGACTTGGTTCAGTGTATTAGTTTGAAGCCCCCTTCTTCATTGGGTAGATCACAGAAGAATCTTACTACTGTGTCGGCCTTACGTTTAGATCCATCAGTATACATCGGCGTCCGCGATGGCCGAGGGGTTTGGTAGGTTTCATATGGGAAGCCAAAGTTCAAGTTTCAAGTTAGCTTACACTCCCCTACTCTTCTTATAAAATAAATAGTGGTGAATGCAACAAATCACCTTCTCGTCAACGTGTCGCAGACTGCCAATGCGTTTCGGAAAATCCAAAGGAAGTTTTCTTCTTTTTTACTTTCATACACGCCGCTACTCGTGGCTCCACCAGAGTGAATAGCACTCAAACTTACACGCAATTCAAGAAGAGCCTGCGGCGTTTGGCAGCATCGAAAGGTGTAGCGTGTAAAGGTTCAGAAAATTACAGAAAAAATATAAAATCAAAATAGTTGGAGAAAATGAAAAGTCAAAGATAACGATAAACTTGGTGAATTTGTGTGGTGGCCAGAGGACAAGCATTGTCTGAAGCAACTTTTTATGGGCACAATTTAAATGCAAATTTTCTGCTGTTTTTAAGAATTGTTATTGCCTTGTTATTGCACTGCTCGCAGACGCTGATAGTGTTGCAATTTTATACAATTTCCTACTGCCATTATGACTTGTAGTGTGCGTAAGCGTTAGAACATAAAATTTAGGCGAAAGAAAGTTCCGCTTTACAATTAAATCCTCTAGCTTCATATGACGTAGGCTATGACGTAGGAAGCGTTAAAAAGATTCAAGCAGGGGGACTGGCTCAAAAACTGCTCACCAATCGAATTAGTTCTTAGAAATTTAAGCGTTTGTAATGGAGGAAGAAAAAAATTTGCATGTTTTTCTCTCTAACTGCATTCTCTGACTCGGGAGACTCCACTGGCTAAGTTATGTCGTCCGAATGGACGAAAACTCTCCAGCTCAAAAGAGACAAAAATTAAGGATTTCGTTGGTTTGGAAACCTCTGGTGAAGAGGAACTTGACTTCACGTGTTGTCTCTGATTGTAACCGAACTAAGAAGATAAGAAAGAATATACGTGCAATCCTTTTAGCGGTATACGTCAAATTAATAAGAAGAAGACTTTCGCTTTTCGGTCGAACTTCTCCTTCAATTAGCATCTGGATTTTATTCCAATAAATGAAAGAACCTGCGATGTACTCTAAGCTGCCTCCAAACAGGAAACAATTAGTTTGGGATGTGGGTCTGGCTTATAAACAAGGCAAAACTCTTTTAAATTAAATGAAAATAAAGTGAATTGGATTCAAGATTCGTCAACACATTGAGGAGAAAGCATCTGGGCTTAGCGGAAGCAATCTTTTTTCTTTCTATCTAGTATAAACGGCCTCTCGGAAGGCTCGGGTTCAAATCCCCGTGCGACCAACATCCAAAAGTTATAGAAAATTAATTTAAATAAAAAATTTAGCTAAATTTTCTAATTGCGGTCG